ATCAATTAAATCTTACTCGGCAAAATTGAGCACGTTTTCTCATTATATCATTTAATTTAATGGAGCAGGAAAAAGTTCCATGCTCAAGAGCATGGTCCATAAGCCAGAGTTCCAACCCTCGAAAATGCTATAATTGTAGCACTTATTATTTGGTCTACATCAATTAGCATCAGAGTATGAAATTCAAGAAAAATATTAAAAATTATAAAATTGCCTATTTTGATGTTTCGGAGCTGAAATGATCATGAACTAGACATAAAGACCTTAGATTCTCTTCATTATTTGAAAGTCCACCTATGTATAATTGGTTTTAAAAATGTTCTAATTGATTTCTAAGCGCACATAATAACCCGGGGCCCCTTTAATTAATTACTTCTTCTCGCAACGACCTTTGACTAGTCATGTGAGTTCCTTAATCAACTAGGGTTAATGTCTAATCCTACAAGTTCAACAATGTAGGGTTGTGAAAGGTAAATCAAATATAATGTGTAATTATTTATAAATAAAGTTCATAAAGTTTATAGATAAACCAATACCATTCAATCTTGTAGGTTAAATTACAGATAAAACTCGTAGTCAAAAGCCAGCAGCATGAAAAAGAACAAAGAAATAGGCTAATAGCATTTACAAGCTGAAAGCCTCACCTAAAGAACTCATTTGCACGTGACTATGAATGAATTCATGAACATGGGATAATGATGAACTTTCTATTTTGTCAATTACCTTTTTATTTTTTAAATTTGAACAGCTCATGTTTGACGAGAATCGTGCTTATTCTTCTAATTGCCTACAATAATTGTGATACCTAACCCCGAATTGACGTGTGATATATAAATTGAGTAATAAATATGGTACTGTATTATTTTTATTATTATCGAGTTTCCTATTTTTATTTCGTTATTTGTCTTTCCCTTTTAAATTTACATGGCTGATAATTAATAAGGATCAAATTTCTTCATTCATACCTTAAACAATTATTAGCGTGCCAGTTACTAGTGATATGCACCATCTAATTAGTAGTAATCATGGAGGTTCCAATTCTCTCAATTACGATCTCTTATTCTAATTTAGAAGGATGAGATTAGGCCACATATGATTTTCGCTATTGCAAGAGTGGTTTTTTAAAATAGTTGTTTTTATCACTATTATCATAAAAACTACTATTTTTAACATCAGTTTTGCAATAATACAAATCCTACGTGGCTTAATCTTCTCCCTCTAATTTACAATGAACGATTAGGATTCCGAGAATCAGGACCTTTCTAATTGTCATCTAATTGAAAAGAATTCGTATCTATGATGACGACTATACATTTGATATAATTTTTTATGAAAAATAACCGAACTAGTTTATCTTTTAAATGAATTTAGAGGATTGATTTGTTTCCTAATATTATTCTTTTTTTTTTGTGTGTGAGTAGAGTTGGAAAAGGTAGTGGGGTTATGAAGGACGAGTATATAGTGGGGTCTATGAAGTAAAATTGGATAAATATCAGGAAAAGCCCATTAACTTTGGACGATTATCAGGCAGGTATCCTTCCATAAATTTCAAACTATCATGAAACCAAACACCCCCACCCCTCCCCTCTTCTTTTAAGTGTAGAGGTTATCATAAAACTTCCTAAACCTTGAGATTTTATCTAAAAAAAAACATTAACCTTAATTTTTTACATCGTTCTACATCGATGGTGCATTTTTTTTCTGGCGAAAATCGCAGTTCACACTCTTAGGAGGGTCTTTGAGTAAAATCTTGAAGCAAACGGTTTTTTTTAATTCAAGGGGAGTTTTCTGGTATTTTGAAAGTTATGAAAGGTTATCTAATAATCTTCTAAGGCAAATAGGGTTTTCTGATATTAAGCTAATAAAATTAGTGAACGTTGTGAGAGCTAATAAAATTAGGGTTTTCTGCTATGCAGACGTTTTCCGTCTACTAGTTCCCTGGCCTTCAAATATCCATCAGCCTCCTCGATTTTAATTGTAAACGGTAACAATGAACGTTATGAACCTTTCTCTCTTCCTTCACGAAGTGCAATGCTTTGCCTTTGTTGCTACCAGAGTTTCTTCTTCTACATCCGAATTCCTTTATTTGGGTGTGAAGTTTGGTTGAGGTCCAATCCATCATTTCATTTGATAAAACTCCGTCACCTTTAAGTTTACTATTGCTACTCGGGAATGAGTGGAAATAGAACGTCAATTCTTACTTCTAATTCTTTCTTACCAAGCGCATCATCTTTTTGGAAATTGGAATGCTTATTCCCACTTCACATCAGTTCCCACTTAATGCAAGAATGAGCATTGCTAATGAAATGACAGTGAATGAGCATTCCCGCTTAAGTATGAATCAATAAAATAAATAATTTCAAACACGTCCATTCTCACATTATTTTGTAAATTGCACCGAAACGTGAGAATGGAAATAAGTATTACATTCTCATATTAACTCCAATCCATTTTCTAGTCCGTTCCATCCTCACTTCGAAGGCTCTGCGATGCCAGTTTCTATATCTCTAGGGATGCAAATTCCCCCCTATAGTTGCACCTACATGCGCCCTCGATAACTGCTATTTGTCTGTGTTTATTGAGTCTTTTCCTGACAGCACCATGTCAAAAGTAGTTGCTGGTACATCAAAACTTCAAAGATATGTCAAAGTTGATGATTATAATTTTACATTCTAGTATACTCTAGAAGCCACAACTATTCAGACATGAGTAACCAATCCAAAAGTATGAGAATAACAAAATGAAAACTTCGTGTAAATAAAAAATTTGAAGATTTACTAGCTTCATTCTCAAAATCCAAAATAGAAATCTATCACAAAGTCTTATGGTGTTTAATATTTGTTGTTTATTGTGAAAATAAATATCAAGGATAAATATTATGAAATGCATCAAATATTTGTATCTAAATTTGTAAATGGTTAAAAGACCAAATTGATCCTTGCACTAGGCCTTAATTCTCAATTTGGTCTCCGTACTTTATTTTTTCTCAACTTAGTCCCTATACCCCATGTTAGAGATGAACTAAATCATATTTTAACTTATTGTTAGAAAATCCATTAAATAAAGTTTAAAAAGACAATTCCACCTTGGCCCAACTTTTTTCTCGAAAGACAATTATAATTCATGTTAAGTTTGCTTTTGTTTCTTGACAAACCGATACACACAATATCTTGTTTCTTCATAAATTCAAGACGATGGTGACGATCTCCTTGAGCTTCAATGCCCACTTCTTCTATATGGAATGTGGGGACAAATGACTGAGGATAATTTGTGCCCTTTTTTAAGTCTAAGGTTGGAAATGTGAGTAAAAATTCAAAGGATGATTCTAACCAAAACAGATCTTTGAGAATCAAGCCTTAATACATGGACCAATTTAATCTTTTAGCCTTTGTAAATACTAGTATTAAGCCCTCGCGTTATTGCAGGTATTATTTATCGAGTTACAATATGATTTATATATATAACTATTTATAAAAACTTCAACAATAATTTTTTATTGCTATTTATAGAGGGAATTTCTAAACCAATTAACAAAATAATACACTAATTAACAAGTTTTATCAGTTTTCTATAATAGTGCTAGAAAAAATTTATATTTGTGAAATGTCTGATAAAGGATAAATTCATCATTTTCAAGAGGCAATAAAAAAAGTTATGAATAGTATTTTCAATGTTAAAAAATATCTTAGCTTGAATAGTGGAAAAAGGGCAAAAAATCACTGCAGCATAGAGAGCATGTTTAATATTCAAAAATTACATTGTAGCATAAACAATGTTTATGGGAAAAATAATTGCAAAGTGAACAGTATAGTTAAGATTGAAAATATTACAATAGCATGAAGAATAATTTTGATATTTTGAATCATGACGAGCAAACATAATGTTTACCGTAGCGTGAATTGTATCCTTGAGGTTTTGCTTTTAAGTTAGAAAAACCTCAAAGTTGTAGCCAATTTGTAATTGAATAGTTGGAACACGTCCAAACTATCCCCTTTGTATAGTGCAGTATTTTAAAACTGATGAATATGAAATGGACCCATCTGATTCAGAGTATCATATCGAATGCATAAGATATGAATGTAACACTCTCAAAGGTTAACGGGTTCGGATCTAGTTATGAGCCGATCTGATCCGACTGTTCTCCATCCACAGCATAAAAACCAATAAACTTCATTCACCGAAACCCTAGAGCTCAGTGTTCACTTCAAAAAAACCTAGAGCTCACACGTCACTACAAAAACGAACCAATGGCGATTTGGGGAGACGACGCCAGCATCAATCTCGACGATTTCTCGCCCTCATCGACTCTCGTCCCCTTCGATACCCCGATTCCTTTACTAAGAGGCCCGATTCCTGCCGCGCCCTCCGACGATCCAGGCGCTGGCCCCTTCGTCCTCGCCTTCAACAGCGCGTCCAGTTGGAGATCAGCGTTTGAATCGACGCGATCCAAGCTCGTCGATCAGTGCATGGTATGAACCAAACTGTGAACTTTTTTTGGGGGTATTTTGACTATTTCCCCCCTAGAAATCTGTTGGTTTCTTTTTGAGTATATCTTATAAATTTCAAAGTTGAAGAAGGATGCATTTGGATGAAGCACGAGCAAGATGTATGAACTTATGAAATAACTTAACAAATCCTGTTGATTAATACGAGAAATATAATCTTTTTTTTTTCATGAGAAAGATTGTATTTTTTTTATATGCCAAGTTAAATGCAGTATCAGGAAATTACATTTGTATATAAAGTTCAACTATCAGTTGGGCCCAAAAGAAAAAAAAGGAACATTTTGGATGAGTGGATGGGTTTATTGGCTCCTTCATCATGGGTTTATTTGTTTTTGCTGAAGCACAACATCTATTTATTTGTGCGTAATCTTTTTATTTGTACTATTGGTTTGTGAAGTTTAGTTTCTTTAAGCATACACATTTTCATTTGTTCTTTATGTTGGGAATTCTTAAATAGACCATAAGGTTGGAATTTTGAATGGATAAATTGCTTTGCAGCTGGCCGAGCTGGCTGGCTCTAGTTTTTGCCAGGCAGTAAGTTACACAGCTGCATATATTGAAAATGAAGCACAAACCAGCTCTCAGCTACTGAGTTTTGCAGCCGGGATTGACAAGTACTTCACAGTCAATAATTATTGCAGCCGGGATTGACAAGTACTTCACAGTCAATAATTATTGTGTTTTTTTTGTTATGGGGTTTAATTGATCTAGCTCAAGTAGATAATTTATTGTTTTTATTGTTTGATTACTGTAAAATATACGTAAAAGATACTATATTTCATGTTTTGATGTTCAAATTACTTAAATGGACCATAAGAATTGAACTGTCAGGAGAGAGTTTATGCTGCAGCTGGCCGAGCTGGCTGGCTCTAGTTTTTGCCAGTCAGTAAGTTAAACAGTTGCATATATTGAAAACGAAGTGCAAACCAGCTCTCAGCTACTGAGTTTTGTAGGTGGGATTGACAAGTGCTTCACAATCAATGACTCCTAAATTCTACATTGTACAACGACTCTAATTACTCCTAAATTCTACATTGTACAATGGCTCCAATTTCAAGTAAAGAAATTTGCTAGTGCCATTTTTTTCAGTAGGGAACTCACGACTGTTATATCATGTTTAGGGCAACCTAGCATGTGGAGATGGATTTTGTTGTTAGAAGTCTCATTATCGTACTTCGTACATGAGCAATACACTGACTTTTTGCATTTTAAAAAATAATAAGCATAATGATAAGGTGTTTAATAACCGGTTGTATTGGGTGACTTTCTCTGTTCACTTCCTGCAGGAGGTAGTCTGTGTTAAAAATGAAACTATTAAATATTTGAGTGACTGACATCTCTTAACTGAAACTAAAGAGGACACTGAAACTTTGTGAGAAACAGTTATCTATTTAAAACCATAAGTTTATTTTATTCAATAGTCCTGAAATCTTTTAAGATCATTAGTTTTGCTAGATTTATTGCCTTATTGCTTCAACATTTGAATACATAGTGACGGATATCTCTATGGAAGGCTGGAGCACGTGTCGGTTGTTCTATCAGCGCATCGAACAAATGCAAGCCGCCATGGTGGAAGACCCTCTTTGGAGCCTCAGTGGCAGATTATGCTGAGAGAGAGAAGTGCGAAGAAATGGAGATAGCCTCGTGCCTTGAAGCATCTGCGGAGCAGTGCATTAAGTTTGCAAAAGAGAAATGCATCGCAGTCTTTCGAGATGCGAGGATAGCCTCTAGTGAATGGAAGGGAGCTTCACATCTTGTTTTCTCTGCCTCGAGGAATCCAAATGATGATTCTCTGGAAGCCAACATTGCAGAAATTGAGCAAGTGCATGGTCCTGAAGGTACGAACTATAGAGGGGGTGCTTTACTGGAGACTTTCCCGTAATGCTAGTTGTAATACTTAGGCTATATCTCTGTTGTAGATCTTTTTGTATAACGTACATTCCTAAATGTTTTTGCCTTGTTCATGAATTTATTCTTTGTAAAACGGCATGACATGCAGAAAACCTCCTCCTTTTCCCTCTGTCTGATCAGTATAATGTAATTTACTGGATCTCTAGATGTGAAGCTTCCTTGCAATGAAAGGAGGATACACAGGGATATGAAGAATATCAAGAGATTTCTTCTCATTGGCCAACTTCGTTGCAGCTAAGGCAACAAATGTTGGGTAGAGAAGGAGGCCTGTCCAAATAGTTATTATTAAGTCAGCATGCGTCTAACTTGTATAATGCTTCTGACACTTACTGTAATTTTTTTAGTCCCAGCCTCCTGAAACAAGAAAAGTTCTCTGTTGAGAAAGTATCTGGTAATTCTGATCTATTACCCTTGATGATTCTTTAAAGAGATGTTTGACAAGTTTACTAATTCACATAGATGTCCATTTGTTAGCATACTTAGATAAATTTTTATTTTTTTTCCATTTATGGATGTGCACCTGGTTCTCGACTTGATATGGTCCGCACCCCCAGAATAGTAATGTGAAATCCATTTGGTAGATGTCAATTCTCGCCCTCTCTTGAACTCTGGGGCTCCGTTGGTAAATTCGTCCCAATTCCACTGTATGATTTCATGCTCAAATTGACATTTCCTATAAGCTGTCAGAACTTTTTTTCTTTCTTTTTGATGGCTATTTTCTTTTGTGATTTTAGGTTGATGCGAATCAAGGACGAGGCTGTTAAAGTTGGCGAGCTGTAATTTGCACCAATTGGCGATGGAGCTTGATAACAGTGCGAGGAACATCAAGGGATCTATTACAAGGGCGAAAAAGGGGGCGACCATTAGCATCAGTCTGGAGCTTGAGCTTACTGGTTATGGTTGCGTGGACCATTTCATGAACCAGGAGAACATCGCTCATTTGTAGGTTTCGGCATTCTAAGAAGCTTGGTTTGGCCTTTTTATTGATTAAATTGGTATCTTACAATGTTATTGTGCATTACTTTGATGATCGACTAAATCCTAATCCACTTCCTTAGGGTTAGGGTTGTTGCGCTACTATAAATTATAAAGAGTTTTCATATATGAACTGACTGTGTGTCTTGATAACTTTGGGGTGGTTTTAGTACTCAAGGACTGCTCTTCGGACTTTAGATTTAACAAAGAATGCATCCTTTTAGTAATTATTAAGCGCTTTCTAGGTGTTGTTTGTTTTCATTTCCTTTCTTCCCTAGCAATATTTCACCAATTGTTGCCGTACTGAGCATTAGCTACATAAGACTAACATGAGAAGTCATGAAAAGGATTTTACAAATTCCGTTTTAAGACTTCTGTTCATGTTAGCTAGATCTTCTATGCTCCTCTTTCTTAATGTTCATCACAAACTCAAGCCTGTTCCGCCTTGCATTGCATCACATCAGCTACCTGTTTTAATAGGATCGAGTTGTACCCCTCAGCATGTACATCATGTGCTTATATGCATATCACATGGTGTTACTCTTAGGAGATTTTAAAAGATTTTAAGGAGATTTTTTTTGAAGAGGCAACTCCTACAGGGAAAACACAAACATCTTCTTAATGTACCATTGCAGTAGAACACACAGTCTTCTATTTTAGCAAGAAAATATCCACTCTCGTTCTATTTTATTGGTAGCTGATAATCTCTCTCTCTCTCTCTCTCTCTCTCTCTCTCTCTCTCTCTCTCTCTCTCTCTCTCCTTTTTAATACCGAGAGATAATATTTGCAATATTTGTGGGTATTTGATGCGGGAAACAATGGAACCGATCCTATGGAATAGTGGTAATGACTAGTGACTATGATTATGCACATGTCAATTAAGGTGTTAGAGTCTGCCTTCAAATGGGGGTAATGATTTCAAATTTGTATAGGTTTAAATATTTAATGCATTAGAATTAATTAGGATAAATGTTACTTCTGAAAGAAATAAGAATTAATATTCAACCAATAGAATGAGCCTTTTAATAGAAGGTAAGTAGAGTCACATGTATTTAGAGAAAATATTCTTCTAGATTTTTTGTATTTATTCTATTTTCTGTGGGAAATTATGGATAGACGAAATTGGAATAGTTTAATATTACACATCAATTGTATATTCTCAAATTTCTAATATGTGTGGGCAGTGTACGTGTAGTTATTCCTGCATTGGAACTTTGTAGGTAGTTATCGGGACAATACTGTGTTACTGCAATATAATGCATCTCCCTTCTTGGAGATGCTTTTATATAGCAAACTTTTAGCATATCTTCTAACTCTCCTTTCCTTTTTCTGGGTATCTAAAATTTCTTTATACTATTGACAAGTGAATTTTTAGTGAAATTCTCTTTCATAGAGATTAGGTTAGGAAGATGTAGCAGATGTCGTTAACAAAGTTATGGAAAGCGCTAGGCAGCCTAGGTATTGGAACCGACGCCTAGAGCCTAGGCGGTTTTCCTATTTTTTATTTTTTTAATTACGATAATTAATAGTAAAAGCCAATGTTATTGAAAGTTTAGGCGCCGCACTGGCTCCAAGGCTGATTTTTTCGTCATGTAAGTGATGGTGGAGGAGGTTTTGCTAAAAATCGGAGGAGGTAGAATAGATGTTCATAGTTGGAGGCTAAAAAAGTTTGGAGGATGTGGAGACTAAAATGGAGAAAATCATGATTATAACCTAAAGGGTGCGTCAAAGTAAGCAGACCACACTTTCCTAGATGCTCCCAAAACCTAGGTGGGTATCTAAGTACTGCCTGGGTGCTAGACACTAGGCTGCCTGCCTAGGTAGGCTGCTGCCTAGGTAGGTTTACACCTAGGTGGGCTAGGCGGAGCCTTTTGAAACATTATTCATTAAATTTATGCAAAAAACCATTTTAAGAAATCAAGAGAAACCATAAACTAGCAGCTGCCTTACAAGAAATTCAGTCACAAACCACTATTACATGAAGAACAAGTTTAACACCTGATGACAGACTTCAAAGCCAACAATTGACAGCCCGGAGAAATACAAGAGTACGTCTACAAACTAGTGAAAATATAACAACCATAAAAAGAGTAACATTTTGTCTTCTCTCATGACTCTCGGCGTTTCTCAGACAGTAGCTTGGCTCGTAGCTCTGTTGGATCTGCATCTTGGAACTGGTTCTCTGGGACCCAATAACCCGTTTTGGGGTCTCTCATCCAATACACTGTTTCCTGCTTGGCAAATCCCCTGGATTGAGCACTCTTTGCAGCAGGCAAAGTTCCTGTCGAGGGAACTCGTGCATTAATCTCAGCCGCAACAGTGTAGTTTCGGCGGCTATGTAAAATAACACGAGCAAAGAGAAGAAGGGTTAGTGTCTAACTGGAAAAGGATACAAATATGTTGAAGTTTAATTGATTTTGGACTTATTATTACTATGTTCATTACCTGAGATATAGAAGAGTGTTAATAGCTACACGAGGCATTGCTGAGACTTTGAGAGAGAGAGAGAGAGAGAGAGAGAGAGAGAGAGAGAGAGAGAAGTATATTTGGTTGAAGAGAAGGGTGTGGTTTTTATGTAGTTATATATGGAGGACGAAGGAGGTTTGATTTTGGATCTGGATTCTCTGCAGTTTGAGAGACCTCTAATTTTAATCATAACCGGCTTTTGTGTAATTGACGTTTGCGATTCATTATGAGTGAAAAGTAAGAAATGAATGCAACACACAAGGATATTGTAAGTTTTAAATTTGGAATGAATCGCAACAATATACTAAATGATACATGATTGTGATTAAAAGCAGTGATATTTCTACTACTTTTTGGACGTGGAGGATCCAAATAACTTCGAAGAAAAGTAGCTAAGGGGTTTCCTAATTTGATGCTTAACATAAATATAGTTGAATAGTGTAACAATTTGGGGTTAAAATTAGGGTTACCTTCTCTCATAGAGAGATACCCTTTTATATTAATGCACTCTTACACAAAGGTCCTTGCAACATTAACTAATTACCTTAATCTATCTAACTAACTCAACACTCCCCCTCAAGATGGGCGATAGATATCAATCATCCCCATCTTGTTACAAAAAATATCATACTCTCTAGAACTCAATCCTTTTGTTAAACAATCAGATAACTGCTCTTCTGATTTCACATAGCTCAAAGTCAAAATTCCTCTATTTAGTTGCTCCTTGATAAAGAACCGATCAATCTCCACATGTTTGGTCCGATCATGCTGAACAGGATTGTTTGCTTGATAAAGAACCGATCAATCTCCACATGTTTGGTCCGATCATGCTGAACAGGATTGTTTGCAATATTAATCGCCGATTTGTTGTCACACCAAATCCGATCATGCTGAACAGGATTGTTTGCAATATTAATCGCCGATTTGTTGTCACACCAAAGTTGTAAGGGGTCTCTTCTAAACAAGCGCAGCTCAGATAATATGTTTTTGACCCACATTAACTCGCACAGACTCACTGCCATAGCCCTGTACTCGGCCTCAGCTGTAGACCTAGCCACCACATCTTGCTTCTTGCTACGCCAAGATACGAGGTTGCCTCCAACAAATACACAGTAGCCTGTAGTGGACCTACGATCATCCATACAACCCGCCCAATCAGCATCACAATAGCCTTCAATTCTCAAATGTCTAAAACTCCTGAACCATAACCCCTTTCCTGGGCTTCCTTTAATATACCTAAGAATTCTGCGAACTGCCTCCATATGCTGCTCTCTGGGATCATGCATATATCTACTCACCACACTCACTGCATGAGTAATATCAGGTCTCGTATGACATAGATATATAAGTCGTCCAACTAATCTTTGATATTGCTCTTTACTTACTGGATCACCACCCTCAGCACACATCTTATGATTCTGCTCGATAGGAGTAGATGCAACTCTGCACCCCAACATCCCTGTCTCTGAGAGAAGATCCAAAGCATACTTCCGCTGAGAAAGCACTATACCCTTTCGTGACCTTGCAAATTCAATTCCGAGGAAGTACTTCAACGGTCCCAGATCTTTAACTTCAAATTCCTCTCCTAATTTCTTCTTCAACCGTAAGATTTCCTCAGCATCATCTCCAGTGATTATAATATCATCAACATAGACCGTCAGGATAGTGATACGAGTTTTGGAGTGCCTGTAAAATATAGTATGATCCCCATTGCACTGCTTGTATCCCATACCACAGACTGCCAATCTAAATCTGTCAAACCATGCCCTCGGAGACTGCTTTAACCCATACAACGACTTCTTCAACTTGCACACCTTCCCAGCTACTTGAGAAGTAGTGAAGCCTGGTGGAATCTCCATATACACTTCCTCTTGGAGATCTCCATGCAAAAATGCATTCTTGACGTCTAGCTGATGTAGTGGCTAATTAAAATTGGCAGCACATGACACCAACACTCTAACAGTGCTCATCTTTGCTACTGGAGCAAATGTCTCGTCATAGTCAATGTCATACGTTTGGCTGTAGCCTTTAGCAACCAATCTGGCCTTATATCTGTCAATCTTGCCCTCTGGAGTTTGCTTAACCGTATACACCCACTTACATCCAACAGCACGCTTCCCAGCTGGCAAAGGTACCAGCTCCCATGTGTTATTCTTCTTCAAGGTCTGAAGTTCCTCGTGCATGGCACTTAACCACCTAGGATCTTGCTTAGCTACCTGCCAGTTGTTAGGTACAGACACTGAATGCAATGATGCAATGAATGACTTATATGCAGGTGGAATGGATGCATATGAAATGTAATTCTCAATGTCGGTATCCCAACTACCAAACTTAGCTGGAGGTTTTCCAGCATTGACTCTAGAGGTTCTGCGGGGAAAGACAGGAGTATTAGAAGTATCAGGGAAAGAATCGTTACCTATCGACTCAGGTGGAGAAGATGAGGAGGGCAATGGAGAGGAGGGACTTGGGACATCAGCATTTGTGGGTACTGGCTCAGGCACAGGAGGCGGCTCATGCTGCTGTTTCTGTCTCCTCGTGTATACTCTCAGCTCCCCCTGACCTTGACTACCAACTCCTGAGTCGCTATCACAACTCGGCAATGTACCACCACTACTCGGTGACTCAAGAGGACATGGAATCATCCCAACCACGATGTCATTCTCATTCTCATTCTCCCCCTCTCTACTAGCATCAGTAGAGCCATCTCCAAACAAGGAACTCAACTCCGTCTTCTCCCCATAAAAAGGTTCGAACTCCCGAAAAGTCACATCCATACTGACAAATAATCTTCTTTCAGTAGGACACCAACACTTGTATCCTTTTTGACTTGATGAGTAGCCAACAAAGATACATTTAACTGCTTGTGGATCCAGTTCTTGATGAGTAGCCAACAAAGATACATTTAACTGCTTGTGGATCCAGTTTACTCACCATCAATCTGTGATCTCTCACATAACATGTGCATCTGCTTGTGGATCCAGTTTACTCACCATCAATCTGTGATCTCTCACATAACATGTGCATCCAAACACTCTAGGTGGAACAACAAAAATATTCGAGCCCAAGAGCATCTCACATGGTGTCTTCATCCCTAATACTCTTGATGGCATCCTGTTGATCAAATAAGCTGCTGTCATAACAGCCTCACTCCATAAAAACTTAGACACATTCATTGTCAACATCAATGAGTGTGCCACTTCCAGTAGATGTCTGTTCTTGCGCTCAGCCACCCCATTCTGAGCAGGGGTGTCTGGACAGGTGGTTTGATGAAGAATTCCCTGACTAGAGATGAAAGCCGCAAACTCTTTGTTGACATACTCAGTCCCATTATCTGTTCGAAGAATCTTCACCTGCACTCCAAACTGTGTCTTCACATAAGCCGAGAAATCTCGAAAACATTTGTAAACCTCAGATTTCTGCTTCATCATGTATATCCAGACCATACGTGAATAACAATCAATGAAAGTAACAAACCATCTAAAGCCACTAATAGAGGTAGTAGGACATGGTCCCCAAACATCAGAATGGACAAGAGCAAATGGTTCAAAACTTCGAAGACCAATCATTTTATAAGTAGAACGAGTATGTTTTCCAAGTTCACAAGCATTACAAAATAACTCTTTTCTATCCACTTTCTTCATTATCTCAGGCTTTAACATATTCAAACTATCAAAAGATAAATGCCCTAATCGGCAATGTTGAAGCATCGCTTCTGCCTCTGGCCCTCCACTAACAGCAGCAGCAATCATTGCAGTCTCCCTGTCTAAGTACCAAAGGCCATCACGCCTGATGCCAGTCCCAATCCTCCTCCCTGTTTCCTTCTCCTGGAAGACACACATATCCCGATCAAATAACACAATGCAATTTAATTGATCAATGAGAGAGCTAACAGAGAGTAAGTTAACTGGAAACGAAGGAACATGCAATACAGATGATAAGGTAACAGATGAAGTACAATGGACCGAACCAATACCCCTAATGGGTTGGGATGTCCCATCAGCAGTTTGAACTGTCTCAGGATGCATATGTTTACTTGGATAATATAATGCAAACTCACTCGATGCTCCTGTGACATGCCTAGATGCACCTGAGTCTATGATCCAATCAACATGAGTTTTAGTGGATGCAAGTGCCTGAACCTGTGTACCTTTGTTCGCATGAGCATAACCAACAAAGTTACCAAAGCAAGTAGTGTTATCCAGATCTTGAGTGACTTGTCCATTGCCCTTCAAACTCTCAGCCTGAAGCTTAAACTGACGTAGTTCCTCCAGCTCTGTTATTTCCGCTCCAGTCATCACTGCAGTGGTTTGGGACTCCTCTGTCACAGCTAGGCGAGCAACTCCTCGGCCTCCACGTCCCCTGCCTCCTCGACCTGCACGACCACCTCTCTGTCCTCTGCCCCCTCTGCTACCACCAGTATTACGGGGTTGAGGGCAATTGTAGCTTAGATGTCCTTTCTTTCCACAATTGTAGCACTCTCTATCATCTCTGATGTAAGCATCTGGAACCACCAATGCTGAGCGGACTACAGATGAGGCCTCGCTAGTCATCACTTTCTGTCTGATCTCCTCTTGTTCCATCGACGCAATAGCCTCATCCAAGGAAGGGAGAGATGACAAGTGCCACATTGCTGCTCTCCTTCCCTCAAACTTTGGGTTTAGACCCTTGAGAAAGCGAATCACACGCCTGCGCTCAAGATACTGTCTTCCCAAAAGAACATCTGCCGGGTTTTGTAGTGATAATGGATCATAATGATCCAAATCCGTCCATAAGTGACGTAGCTCTGCTGCATACTGGTGGACTGTCTTCTCCCCTTGTGTGATAGCATCAATCTTCTCCTCCACTTCCATCATCATCATCACACTCCCAGCTCCAGAATACATCCCCTCCAATGTCTTCCAAACATCAGCTGCACTTGAGATAGACTCCACCATCCCAGCTATGGTTGGAGACACAGAAGTCAACAAACATCAGCTGCACTTGAGATAGACTCCACCATCCCAGCTATGGTTGGAGACACAGAAGTCAACAACCAAGAAACCACCTCCCAGCTATGGTTGGAGACACAGAAGTCAACAACCAAGAAACCACCAGAGAATTAGTGTTACTCCATGCGTTCCACTCAGCACTCGCCTTATTCTCCGGCTCAGTGCACTCCCCCTTCACATATTTTTCAAGTCCTCTGATTCGAAGGTTCAACAATGCCCTCCGGGACCAACTCATATAGTTTCTTGTCCCCTCAAGCTTGATGTCATTAGGCAACAACTTTACCCTCTGCATTATCTGTGCCGACTCCGGTACAGCCACGACTGACCTACTAGTATTCTCCTCTAGTTTGGTCTGAAATACCCTGGCCACCCCCTCCAGGATCTCCTTCAATTCTTGACTTGTCACATGTGTTCCCATCTTCACAGTTGACTGCCTTCTCTTTCAGCAACAATACTAAGAAACAGTGAAACACCCCAACCCAAAAAAAACAAATTGTCAAAGCCTCCTGCAGTTCTCCTCACGCTTAAGACTCTCCATAACACAGATGGCCTCTACTTCCTCCTTCATCCTCTAATCCCGACGCAAATCCCCAGCGACAAGCACCAAGCCACCAAGCCAACACCGATTCCTCTCCGCCCTCCCTCCTCCTCTCAAACTCTTTTCTCCATTTGACACAGATGACGACAGGAGGATCGGCGGCAGAATAGCAGGGATCAGCGACAAGGAAGCTTCGTCCTCGTCGTCAGGTGGAGCTTCGTCCTCGTCGTCAGGTGGAGCTCCGTCGTCGTCGTCAGAGCTTCGTGCTTCGATCGGCGTCAAGGATCGGCGTCAAGGAAGCTTCGTCCTCGTCGTCAGGTGGAGCTCCGTCGTCGTCGTCAGAGCTTCGTCGGGAGCTATGTCGTCGTCGTCAAGGAAGCTTCGTCGTCGTCAGAAATTGCTTCAAGAGAAATCGGTGAGCCGTCACATGGCTCTGATACCATGTAACAATTTGGGGTTAAAATTAGGGTTACCTTCTCTCATAGAGAGATACCCTTTTATATTAATGCACTGTAACAATTTGGGGTTAAAATTAGGGTTACCTTCTCTCATAGAGAGATACCCTTTTATATTAATGCACTCTTACACAAAGGTCCTTGCAACATTAACTAATTACCTTAATCTATCTAACTAACTCAACAAATAGAAACAGGACTACGCCCAGATTTTTGAATACAAATTCCTCTTATTTTGGACATATTTCCATTTTGGTCTCCACGTCTCTTGATGCTACAGCGTTTTTTGTAGCTCTTGTTTGTGTAGAAATTAGATACGAAAAAAGTCTGTTACCTCTAACACCTAAAATTGGACCGAAAATATAACATAAATATTTCTAAAGTTTGGTCTTACATGCCTCGGCTTACTACGAATATTCATATACTAGCATTAATTTATCGTGCAGAAGTTCGTTAAAGATCTTCTGGAAGCAGATGCCTAATGTAATAATGAGACTTTCCATTGCCAAGGAGGATGAGCTTCAATTAGTGTTCGCAGCTTGTTTAGTTTTAACTAGACCAACCTTTCCTTGATAATATAGAAAAAGACGGAAAGGCAAAGAATAAGATGCTCATGCTGCACAGAAAATACCAGTTGGCCCATGTAAAGGTTTATTTCAAATAAATGGCATGCAATGATCAACTTTAGGCTGTTCACTTAATCGGGGGGCACCAAATGCGAAAAATTAAGACTACTTAGCTAAATTCAGATGAACCCTCCACATGTTTCTCTCTAGCTGTACCTCTTTTGGGTTTTTAGTTTTTTTGGTAACAAAACTTTATCGATTACAGTTTCTAGATGGATTGTGGAGAATTCTGACAAAATATAGAAACGAAAATGTGATGCGTATGCCTCTTAACAGCCTTTGGTTTTATTAATGACATTGGTTTATGCATAGATATCGCCCATGTATATGTGTATTTACAGTTGTGATGAAGTGTCCTACACATAAAACTCTTTAACCATAATAGGCTTATACAAAATTAATTAGTTTTATGGCTATAATGCATGCATACGAACTACATCTCTGTTTCTAATAACTGTTGAAGTTTGTTTCCAAATACATGAATTTATAACCAAGACTCAATAAGAAAAATACATGAATTTATAACTGTTATCATGGTTGACTCATGTACATAACTTCTTCGTGTTTGTGTCCATATATGGTAAGAAAATAATAGAAATTGGTTGAGAAAATATTTTGAAAGAAGGAATCATGCAAAGGATTTGATGTTGAAAACTTCTGAAGGGGATTCGCTCACACCTTCTTCAACTTATTTCTATATCCAGACATGTAATTTTTCTTTTTGAGACAAGCTGGTCAAATTCTGTAATAAATTAACTCCAATTGATCCAGCAAACAGGATTTTCATTTTTTTCCCCTTGTTTTTGTTTTTCTGGTTGCAGCTCATCTCTGTTGGAAGCCTTTCTAAAGGAATCAAACTTATTTTCATCTTTTCCTACTTAATTCAAGTTATGTATGGATTCTATGGAACCCGTCAACATCTTCCTTTTAGCAAAGTTGAAGATATTATCCTGTTTCTTGTTCAAATTTAGTGTCAGTTGATGCATATGGCAACTTACTGGGCACGCGCTTTGTAGGAACATCGCAGAAATTGTATTTATTGAGTTTAAGCCGATGGCCAGTTCTATCTGTAAATAAGGGTTACCCAAATGGATGGAAACTTCAGTGCTTTTGTTCATCGGCTTTGTTTGCATTTGCATTCTGAACTAATTGTGTAATATTAGGTACGGAGCCTTAATGTCGCCTTGCAAAAGGTCAATTTCTTTAATATTGACACCGAGAATCATAGATTCTTGTGCTTTTTTATCGCTGGCTTTTGGCTTTGGTTAACCTGCGTGATCAGAGCAACGTGGGTAACCTAGTCCTGGAGCAACTTGCGGGCTGTGATGTATCTGATGGATACAAGGCTCTTAATGATCAAGTGCAAACTGGGAAGTTATGAGTTTCTCTATATCAACATCGGCTTCATCGCCTACAAGTGGATATCTTTGTTATCCGTGAGCAGAAACTGAGCAGGTCATCATACCTGGGCCAAATTGCCGTTATTTACCTGGACCAAGTTACCGTTGTTTTCTTCTCCTCCTACCCTCGTGCTCTGTATGATGCAATTGGGTGTTGTTGATATGTTCATGAATTCATTCTCATATCTGTATTCTTTTACTATCTGAATTTATTTATATTGAAGCGGTAATTGAAACCATTTAGGCCCCTGAGATACTGTAAGCTCGGAAGCAAGGACCCGACACCAATGCTAGGTTACCGTTCCCAAATCCAACGTTAAGCACTGTGTCTCCTTGGTCCTCTGTGTTGTGCGCGGAAGCCACTAATCCTTGTGCTTCGAGAAACCAAACACAAACGTCGAGAGAGAAAGCCAAACAATAAAAAATAACGGCACAAACACAAACACACAAATTTTACGTGGTTCGGCAAGTTGGCTACGTCCACGGGACAAGAAGGGGATGAGATTTTTCACTAATAGAGAAGAAGAGTACAAACTGAGATTACAAATCAGCCAAACTCACTACTTAATCTCACTAACAAAGCTCTTAATCTCTCAAATAAAATCCTAACCAATAGCTCTAGAAAATATCTCTTTTCTGTGCTCCAAATATCCCCTAAACAATCCCAAAGAAACCCTAAAACGTGTGTTTGAATTTATATCAAACACCAATCCCAAACAGAACAAGAAACAACAATCTGGACCTGACCCGATACGCGGTCGACCGCGACAAACAACAGAACCCAGTAAAAGATTACAAGGTCTGGCGGTCGACCGTGACGGTCGACCACACCAACTACAGAGCCCAAAATCAATTACAGGGTTTGGACGATCGATCGCGGCGGTCGACCGCACCAAGCCCAGAATCAAACCCTGGGTCCGTGCACGAATTTGGTCAACCGGCCTTGCACCGCGGTTGACCGCACACCACCAAAAAACAACTCCCTGCTTCCAAAACCTGTTCTTCACCCAAATCCTTCGCCAAATATACACTCTGATTGAGCACTAGTCTTTCTAAGTTCCTCTGAATCCACTCATTATCTGGAGAAATTGGCCTGCTTACGTTGCCCTTTTCTTCCTGATTGGGCTCTAGTCTTCTTGTTTTTAAGTCCGAGTTCTTTTAGAATCCTCTGCATGCGAGTGGATGTTATGAGCCTTACATGGATCAGATTATAGGATGTTTCTATTCTCGTCCCCCATGTAAGGTTCAGAGCTGTCTGCTCGCTCGCATGCTGGTTGTTGTGAGAGGATTCCTACTCCTTGTTTTCACGGAAGACCCATGGAAATTGCAGTTGACACCAGCATATTAGGCTTTCAGAATCCAAAATCTTTTAGCCCTCTCCATCGACTCCTTTACTCAAACACCAATGTTGTGTTTGGCAACTCTAAAGAATTGGTTTTCGTGGTTACAAGTTTGGCTGAATCGTCTAGCTCTAGTTTGGCAATTAACAAGATTGGGCAAAACTAGATTATGTTTAGCCCAATTTTATATGATAACTTGTTCTGCTTCAAACCAAGTCCCACTTAGTTTGAAATAGAACTAGTTTGCTTTGGTCCTTAAAAAAACATTGCGAAATGAAAAAGAAGATGACAACTAGCATTAGACCAATCTAAGTGTAGCTAGTCCAAAACTACACCTGACTAGTTTTTTAGTTGCCAACCTGACCCCGATAATCCAAAACAATGACTTAGCAAATATCATGCAATTACTGTTCTAGTCTGGCCATAATTTAATTCTCTTACTAAAAAGGAAAATATTATAGGCACACCTCCAAATACACTCCAATCATACTCCTCTCTCGTTACAGTGCATTGGGGCTCTAACGAGAGAAGAGTATGGTTGAGGGGTGGTTGAGGGGGTGACCGTAGCGCGACCTTACTAAAAAGGAAAATGATAGGGGCACACCCCCAACCACATCCCAAACCACACACCCTCTCTCATATGCTACAATGCACCGGGCCCCACATGAGATTTTAAAAATTTAAAATCTTATATGAGGCCCGGTACACTGTAGCATATGAGAGAGGAGATGTGGTTTGAGATATGATTGGGGGTGTGCCCCTAGTGCCACTCTACTAAAAATTCATAACGCTTCACTGTTTGACTCTCTCCTAACCCAAAGAAGACTGTGGAGTTATCTTTATATTCCCTCAGTCACGTGCGGCACATCACGTCTCTGGTCTATCTTCCCGCACGCGACCTACTAACTGGCACGTGCAGTTCATACTGCCATCTCTGCTAAGAAACAAGAACAAAGATCCTCAAGATGCTACTAATTCCCGCGAGTCCGAGAGATATAAAACCCTAGTTTACTTTAATCCCATGAATTCATTATCAACTATAGAACCAATGGATTCAAAATCCAAGAAAGGAAACAATCTCGAAACTTCGACGGATTCAAAATCCTATCTTGTTCATTGAATCCCCTTTGTTCAATGAACAGGATGAGAAGCAGCGGACAAAAAAAATAGGTAAGCTGCTTTACGATTATTTTCCTTATTATCTTAATCTTTATTCGCCATTTAATGCTTCCCTTTTTTTTGACTGAATTGTTTGCTTAATTACTCTTGTGTTTTGTCTTAATCCGTAGAATATTGTTTTGTCCGCGTGTTCCTCGCTTCTCTCTGACACCAAGTGCCGTTTCAGTTACCAGTGTCTTCTTGCTTAAATTTACTATCTTCTTCTCTTTCGTTCCTCATTTTCTCACCTGGGTTCTCTTTGTTTTGCAAGTCCAGAGTGTCTTGAGGTGATTGGAAGTGGAAAAAATAGTTTCTTTAGGAACTTCAACAATCTTTTTCTTGAGGTGGTGCTTTGAGATTTAGTCCGGGTTGGCGTTTAGGAGAGTGTTCCATTAGAAAGAGTTTAGACTTTGTTTTAATTTTCTATCAAACATGTTTCACATTCAGAATTTCTCAAGTCGGAAATGCCACCTCCTGGTGGTTTTGTGTGGAAACTATGTTAACGTAGAAAGGGAGCCGAAGGCTGGTAGGCTTAGATATCCCTTTCCAAAACTGATTTCGTCTGGGCGCCTAGAGGTTGGTTTTCTTTCAGTGTGTTTGGAACTATATATATTTTTTACTGATAGGAATTAGTTTTCTGCCATTGTAATGTCGAGCACTTATCAAGGGTCTTTCTTTGTTTGAATGTAGGTCCATAGACTTATAAATCCAACGCTGGACGAATTCCACAATACGTATAAGTTAATTTGCCCCAATTTCTTGTACCTACAAGGGGCGCAACAGGAAGATGAAGAGGAAATCGGCTCTTTAATCTGGGGGACCATAAATATTGCTGACCCTGAGCTGCTGGGTTCTCTCATTGGTCCTCCATTACCAACAATAGTAAGCAACTCAATCAGATTTTAAGTTTACTCGGTTTGAGTTTCACAAAATGTTTATTCAATGTGTGTGCCATTGTCTTTTTTAATATGTAGCTCCAAAAATAACCGAAACATGACCCAGTGTAGTATGATAATAGCTAGCTCTTTGCAGGGTTTTTTGCATATGTTTTTAGTGTATTCTAGTAGCGTGAAAACTTCATCTACGTGCTGTTCGTGGTCATACATTTATATGAACAAATCTCAAATTGACCAACTCTTTTATATTATTGCAAGTTGATTGTTTCTGTGATATTATTCTATGAAATCATGATTTCCCCTTATGTGAACCTTCTGTTTCTGACCTGCATAAGTTTGAATTTTGTTTTATAAAGAGCATTTATGAAGCATTACTGGTTACATTTTCCTCGTATCAAGTTTTTGTTATTTTTAATTATTGATGTTACTACTTTTGTTTCTTTTGTTCATCGTTGTTATTTCTGTTGTATCGTTGTTACATCTTTTGTTATTGTTATTATTGATATTAAATCTTGAGCTCAGAGCTCAATTGCATCAAAAGGATGCTAAGTTAGATGCATTTGGTGCTTCCTTTTTACGGTATGCATACTGAGAGAAATCTCTGATTGCTCCATTGCTTTGTTGTTTGAATGTACCCTCCCATTTTTAAGATGAGAATTTTTAAGAACGAGTGAGATGTTCGTAGAAACTTCGAGAGAAGTTTGAGCTTGAAGCCTGGTACTTTTTTGCATTACTCTGATGAAAATGTTTATCTCTTGAGGAATCAACTGCGAAACAGGTATTCTTCTGTTCACTTATGTATAATTTTCTTCTTGACGGATGGAAGCATGTGCATCTAACTGTGAGATTAACATGGCTTGCCTTTTTTCGATGATGCTTGTGGCCTTTTTGCCTTTAATGACGATGTTAAGTCTAGGAATCAATAAATTTCCACTTTTTGAATCTGTTCATATTTCCTTCTTTGGTTGATAAAAAATGGTTTGTGTAGTCAGAATTATTTTTTTGATGAGGTTCGAAATTAATGCACATTGGGAATGTTTGAATTGGGCTCTATGCAGTTAACCTTTTGCAATTTAAAGTTTTAAAATCATAACTTCTGAAGATGTTTCTAGGTGGGCAGTCAAGGTGATGGGCTGTGAGAAACTTGAAAAATGTTCATATGATTGCCTAGTGAGAGAGGGAAAAGGAAGAAATAAGTAGAATTAACAGGAAGTACGACAAAAGAGTGAAAATAGAAAAGGCAGTCCATTGAGTAAGGTTCCCAGCATTGTGGTATTGTGGGACCAGATATAACAGAAAAAGGCATCCCAATGCACAAGGTTTCCACCATTGCGATACAAGATGTATGCATGCGTTCCTTCCTATTGCTTATTGTGGAGCTATCTTAAGTTTCTTTCATTGGGTGAAATGTATGCGGAGCAAGTTATAAAAGAAGTTGATACTTGGTAAAAAGAAGAAGCAAAAGGACACGAGATATGAGGGGAAAAAAAAAGAATGAGAAACAAAAGAATGGCAGGCAGAAAGTGAAATAGAAGAAAAGGAAGAGCAAAAGTACAAACTTTAGTGTCATTTAAATATTGAGCAACTAACAAAATAAACTATGAGCCAGACAGTTTAGGGGCTAGTCCTAATTCATTGATATGAAGCGTAGGCTTGGATCCATTTCACTTGAGTTAAACATTCAGGTTTACCTTATACGAAACAGATCAGCTATGAATCTATCTTGTATAAGCTAAACCCTGATTTAACTTATATCAAGTGAACTGCTACCTGATACACGTCATATTAAATGGGTTAGGGCTCAAAGTCCTAGCCCATCTACAACCTATCTCTCATTTTCGAGGAGCGGAGGTAATAAACTGGCATCAAAGTTGAAATCAAGGCGGAGAATGATATTTCGAGGTTCAAATAATGACCTAAGGGGAAACATGACGGCAATGTGATTTTTTATTTGATGCACTTGAAGGACTTGACCTTAATTGGGGTGGCACGAGTGTCGCCTGCCCCTAGATTCTTACTGTCATTCTTTCTTATTTAAATTTTCTCTTTGTTATTCCTTATTATAAGGACTAATAAGTAATGGATAGGATTCATTGGTTAAACTTTTGTCAAATACAAGAGGGATATTCTTTTGAAAGCGGATAATGGGAAGGCGACCGACAAAGTCATCTAGGGGGAAGCACAATGAAGGCCCCCTCGAGGGTAGAGGGGAGAAGAAGGCTTTCCACTATAAGAAACTTATCTTCACTACAATGTGAAAAGAATAATTTACCATAGTTCTTCCCCCCTTTCTTAATGTTCATTTGAAATCTTATTTATACAAGAACGACCATATCATCCCGACTCAGAGAGTCGATGTAGTTGAAGATAAAGAAGAAATGCGGGCAGGATTGTCATCAAAATTGCTTCGGATAGATTCTAATCTATCAAATGTTCAAATATTAAGTATTTGTGGGTGCGATGTACCGGGATAAAGAGGTAAAAGTGTCTTCTCGTGGTGCTTTAATAGACGAATGCCAAAACTGCTACTTAATCTCTGAGATAACCCAAGAGCAACTTGAGCAAGTAATAATCTCGAATTAATCTGTATATTATGTTTGGGAGTTTACTAATGGAGGGAAAAGGAGCGAAGGAAAAGGGAAACAAGGCAAAGGAAAGTAAGGGGAGGGGAAATGTAATAATCACGTTTGGGAGTTTAGTAAAGGAAATAAAAGAGAAGTATTTTTTAACCGTTGGATTTATATCATGATGGTTCAAAATATTCTACTTCCTTTACACCCTAATTTTTTTTTTTGGGTGGGGGGTGGGGAGGGGGCAGTAATAAACTTTGTTACTTGTTCCCTTTTCCCCATTTCTTTTAATAAAAAACTCCCAAATAAGGTAAATCTATTTAACTTTCTTCCCCTACCTCTTATGCATTCCCATCCAAACAAAGCAATAATGAAGCCTTGATTGTGGATAAATATTCCAAATATAATGGTACAACAATGTCAACAAATCTAGACAATACATTATTATTGTTAAAATTCATTATCATACTTAACGAAAATGGAAACAATATGACATCAACATGCATGAGAGCAATATAGGTTCAAATGCAAAGAGTATAATCCCTTAAATAATGTGTTTGAAGAATTGGCATTATGTATATGACACGTGTTAGAGAATCTAATCTATTCAACAATCTATTAACAAACATGATATTCATAATAAAACTTTGTTATATTTTAATTGCTCCATCCAATTGTGTATTATTATTGTCCAAAAAAACTAAGAATATATTATTATATTTGTCTCACCTCTTTAAATAGAGGAAAGAAAACTTGGGGTACGAGTAAATTTTAGCTACAAGTAAACTTGAGGTTTAAGGTAAACAAAATTGCTAAACAAGAAGTATCATTAATAATTACTCAACTATTCTAACACTTTCCCCTCGGTCTGAAGAATATATCCTATCTATGCCCAGCTTGTTCGATATGGAAACAAAAGAAGCTAGTTGCAAGAACATTGGTAGCGTTCATCTTTGCTCGGAGTACTTGATGTTGTCAAAATCAGGAAAATGCATCCAGAAAAACCTCTAGGCACCATGGGCAAATCACGCAGTCGAAACCCTATGTGGGTGAGCCAACAGAGACAATGTTCGAATCCAACTATTGAAAGAGGGCCATCGCAAAAAATCAGAAGGAGATTATTGGAGTTACAGTTCACGATGAACAATAACTTAGTTATGGTTCATGCAATGATAGTTACTTTGGTTACTGTTGATGTGATAAGACCCCTTGACTCCGAGGTCAAGCCTCTAGAATCAAGAAAGCTCTGATATCATATAGAAAAAAAACCAAGATAATTTTATTATGGATGTCTCACTCTTTAAATAGAGGAAGTTAAACTTGGGGTACAAGTAAATTTATGGTACAAGGTAAAGGAAATTGATAAACAAGAAATACCATATATATCTACTAACTATTCTAACAATTACATTCTAACCTTTTGATTACATATCCTACCTCTTGGTTGTATCTCTTTCTATATAAGCTAAAATAAAATTGATTGGCTCTAAACTATTTAAGATGGTATCAGATTAAAATTTCTAACTTTATAATCTCTCCTAAAGTCTAGAACTCGAGGCTGTTAAGGGTGTTGCTGCCTCTAACGCTATCTCCGTGCTTACCCACGGGCACCATGTAGCTAGTCCTCTAGAGCCCTCTGTCAACCTCCCAATCTCTCACACTATACTCCCATCAAAATATCCAACTTGATCAAAGTCGTAGAGCTGCTGTCTCGTCTCGGCATTGTCAATCCTCTCAGAGGCAATTTCATATGCTTCCTCTTCTATTATGTAGTCTCACCGATCTCTTCTTCTATATTGTCTCATTATCCTCTTCTCGAATTCAGTCTTGTTGGTCTCATCTTCTTGCATCCACTCCAGTTTGTCTCTTCTTCTCACATGCAGTTTCATGGGTTTCCTTTTCTCACACGCAGTCTCATCAATCTTCTTTTCTTGCATGCAATCTTTTCAATCACATATACTCACGTGTATTCATGTCGACCTCTTTTTCTTGCACGCATTTTATCGACCTCTTATGTCATGTGCAATATTATCGACCTTTTTCGTGTGTGGTCTCACCTGCTTTCTTTACTCACCTTCAATCTTATTGGCCTCCTCTTCTCGCATGTTTGATGTTTGTTCTACAGAATATCTTGCAAAAATTCTCACAAGTCACAAAGCCATTGCATATGGAGCTCTTCCACACATTCATTATCAAGCTTAATTTCAACAATATCTGCATTGCAGCTTGAGAGAGTGTGTTAAAGAATCTAATATGTTCAACAATATATAAACAAGCACGTTCTTCATAATCATAGTTTGTTTATTCTAACTACTCCATCCAACCAAATATTGCTATATAATAACCTCTAGATTATGTATCCCAACCTTATGATTGTAATTCTTTCTATATAAGCTACTAGAAATATGAATAAAATAGATTGACTCCAAATTATTTGGCAGTACGCTTTATTTTGTGGAATAAAATACATTTGTGAGCATATCATCAACTAATCGTGATCTAACCTCTGTACTATGGATGAAGGTCAACTCTCAACTCAAGTGATATACAGTGTACTAGCTTTGATAAATGTTTGTAATATAAAAATCATAGGGTATCTATGCTCTATTGTGATTACACTAACAGTTGGATATATGTGCCAGTCATGCAAATTTTAGGAAGGGAATCGTTATAGTCGTTTGAATTAATTCGTTACAAAATATTTACCATGTTCAAAAAATTTTAAATTGGAATATGAATGAATAAAGTCAGTCAAAATCATATCGGTTTGTGCCTCTATTATCATATTATGGTTTACTATATTGAAGAGGAGGCATGGATTACAAACTGTAATCTCTGTGCTTTTGTGTTTAATTGTCTAATAATTTATTTAACACTACATTCAATCATCTTCCTATTTAATTTGAGACTAATTTTACTCCTTAATACCTCTCAATCATAGGAAATGATGCTTTTATGAAGCTTTCCATAACGAGATAGGTTTTACATGTCGATGATCTTTTTTTTCTTTTTTGAAAATGTCCCCAATCATGGTGATTTCCTGATATATTGGCTGACATTTCAGGATTTTTCCAATATATTCCAATATATCGGGTGATATTTTGGTGTCAAAAAATCTCCGGAAATGGCACCATATCTTGATCTAGGTTAAGATTTAATTTAAAAGTCAAGTTTCGATATAGAGCTCAACTAAACCCTAAACCCAAATTTAAACCTGCTTATATCAATCTCAAAATAAGAGAAGTAGGTCTCAATTTTTTGACTAACATTTCTCAAGTAGGGAGTCCCTTTACCCTTCTCTTTCTCGGTCCTTATCTGCCTCACTTTTAACTCCTCTTAGTTGCATTTCTCTCTGCCTCTCTGCCCTTCAACCATATCTTTATTTAAATGGTTTGATGTTTTTATGTTTAAATTTTATTCAGGATATCTGTGGTATCTATGTCTAACCAATATGACACTTTGAGATTTACTAAAAGTCCTCAATATATTCTGGATATTCGCCATCTATTATTAATTTTTTCCTGTCGAACATGATTCTGATACATGGCATTTAGAATACTGCTGTAAATCAAACTCATAAATTCAAATCCTCGTTGGGAAATTTTCCTAGATTTGCATGCATGCAAGTCATGTATTCTAACAGCTTTCTATATTGGTCTGTCTCATGGGCATTAAGCTGCCTGAATATCCCTGCGTTCAACAAGGAAAAATAATCAATACTCTATTCCCTTAGAAATTCATACAGCTGACACATGAAATCTGACACATACCAATTGATTAGAGCAAAGCAAAGGTTTGGCTTTGCATTTTGGATACACACACGTAAATGGAAATTTGAAGTGGTGAATTGACATTTGCAAAAGTTATGCTGAGGGGAAGGCACAGCATGCTTGATTAAGGTAGTAGATGATGCAAATTTTGACAAGAAATCAACATTCATGTCTGAAGCATGACATAAGGCAAAGAGCTGAATAGAAACACGTTGCTATGTCCACTCAAAATATGTAAATGTTTCAAATTTTTTTATGACTTTTGCATTATGTATCATTGTCTAATCTCTTCAAAAATTTAGGCAACTTCTGAATTATGTTGACATTTTACTCTGTTTTCTGAATTACACAGGTTTATTTGGAGGTTCCGAGAAGTGAAAACCTTGCGCGGACATTGCATGGGAAGGTACATTGAGAAATACGACCATGCTTTTGTCATGAACTTGCTGTATCTGTCATCTATTTTGTATTTTATATGGTGATTCTTGACCATATGTTGGGAAGCGAACGAATCAAAGTTTTGCGAGTGTGTATGAGTTGCGTGGCTCTTTTTGAGCTGCCAAGAGATCATAAAGGTGTTGAGATCTACCCACTAATGTGATTAGCAAAGTGGGGGTCATCACATGTCCATATCTTTATAGCTCATTGAGCAAAATGAGCTGCTACCTCATATTGATTATTTCCACACACACGCTGTGTTGTGTGCTTGCATATGTGTAGGAGGGAAGGGGAGGGGTTAGACAGCACAATTTCCATTACAAATAAAATGGTACTTAATGCACAGTAGATTTACCTTTTGGCCGATTCTGATATTATTCCTTTGTCATTCATCCTTTGAAATTATGACAGATAATAAAGGACAGGAGATGTGTTAATTCTTCTTTTGAGAATTTGATGGAAAATCCCTATTCTAACTCATTATATGCATATGTGCACCTGTCATGCTGGTGTTCTTTTTCATTCTTTAGATAGTCCAGTCTTTCTTACTATCGAGTTCTTAGTACTTATAAGCTATGAAGCATCGACACGCTGAAACAAGCCCCGAGCGTCGGACACGAACACGCGTTCGACACGCGTTCAACGCCGCCGACACGCGTCAACGCCCCGACACGCGTGTCGACTCACTCAGGACACGGCTGGACTCGCTCCCAAACGGCAGGGACACAATGATTTCACGTGGGGAAAAGTTACGAACCTTCAAGGGATGACGATCTTCGATGGAGGAGTCGACGACGAGCTTCGATGGAGGAGACGGCGACGAGATTCAAGGGGAGACAAGCTTCGATCTTGGGAGGAGTGAACGATCGGCTACTTCGAGGAAGAACAGTGAAACCCCGAGCCCTAGAACCAACTTGTGAGTCAGATCCAAAGGAGGAGAGAGAGGAGAAAGGAGCAGATTTTTTGGAGGCAAATGAAGGCGGCGGCGTATAGGAACAAAGGAGAAAAGTGAGAGACGATCTTTTGGAGACAGATGAAGGAGGCGGCAGATAGAGCAAAGGGGAAAGTGAGAGCCGATCTTTTGGAGACAGATGAAGGAGGCGACGGATAGAGCAAAGGGGAAAAGTGAAACCCTAGACCTAGAACCCATTATAACCTATTTATATAAGTAGCATTTGTAAATTAAAAATTAGGCTAGGGTTGTAATATTTAGCTTCCATTTTAATAATATACTTGTAATATTTTGAGGAATGTTTGTAATATTTTGGATATAATTCTAACTTATAAATATATGCTTGTAATTTTTAACTCTCGTTTTGCAAGATAGGCTTGTATTTTTATATGCTCAAGATGAAAGTAAATGTACGCTTTTGGTTGTAATTTTTATATTTTGCAATGTTAGTAAATTAGTATTTTGTAACCATGGAACTAGTTGCAACTTGAACTTTATTCTCTTGTATTTTTATATGCTCAAGATGAAAGTAATGAAAATTAAAATTTGGTATTATCTTTAAATCAGTTACATAACTTACATTTGTCATTGATTATACAAGCTAATGTTACATAATAATATAACACAAAAATTAATCTATTTTTCTATATGTTCATCTTCTCTTTATTGTCTTCTTTAACATTATTGTCTTCAATTCTTCAAGAGATCATTGGCATCCCGACGTCTTAATTCACACCTGCAACACACACTTTCATTTAGTTTCTTATTTATAATATCCAATTTACATAACAAAAACTATGAAAATGTAATAGGAATTTAATTCAATATTGATCTATATATAATAATATTAAAAAATCTAGCCGTGTCGCCGTGCCCTATTTTTTTGGGTTTTGCCGTGTCTGTGTCGTGTCCGTGTCGTGTCCGTGTCGCCGTGTCTGTGTCCGTGCTTCATAGGTAAAGAGTAACAACAGTCTCTAATTAACAAACTTTGATGAATAAAGTAGGTAATGACACTTGTCAGATGTTCAAAACACAAGACTTTGAGGAACAAAGTGGGTAATAGCATTGATGGGATGTTCAAATCACCAAATTTTAAGACAGATGAAGGAGGCGACGGATAGAGCAAAGGGGAAAAGTGAAACCCTAGACCTAGAACCCATTATAACCTATTTATATAAGTAGCATTTGTAAATTAAAAATTAGGCTAGGGTTGTAATATTTAGCTTCCATTTTAATAATATACTTGTAATATTTTGAGGAATGTTTGTAATATTTTGGATATAATTCTAACTTATAAATATATGCTTGTAATTTTTAACTCTCGTTTTGCAAGATAGGCTTGTATTTTTATATGCTCAAGATGAAAGTAAATGTACGCTTTTGGTTGTAATTTTTATATTTTGCAATGTTAGTAAATTAGTATTTTGTAACCATGGAACTAGTTGCAACTTGAACTTTATTCTCTTGTATTTTTATATGCTCAAGATGAAAGTAATGAAAATTAAAATTTGGTATTATCTTTAAATCAGTTACATAACTTACATTTGTCATTGATTATACAAGCTAATGTTACATAATAATATAACACAAAAATTAATCTATTTTTCTATATGTTCATCTTCTCTTTATTGTCTTCTTTAACATTATTGTCTTCAATTCTTCAAGAGATCATTGGCATCCCGACGTCTTAATTCACACCTGCAACACACACTTTCATTTAGTTTCTTATTTATAATATCCAATTTACATAACAAAAACTATGAAAATGTAATAGGAATTTAATTCAATATTGATCTATATATAATAATATTAAAAAATCTAGCCGTGTCGCCGTGCCCTATTTTTTTGGGTTTTGCCGTGTCTGTGTCGTGTCCGTGTCGTGTCCGTGTCGCCGTGTCTGTGTCCGTGCTTCATAGCTTATAAGAACCCGTCCTTCTACTCTTTTATTTGTAGAATCTATGAGAGAATTGCCAATTTTAATTAAGGCGTGGAAATATGGTTTCTCTACTAGAAGCTTCTTTTTTATGGTTTGAGGATGATTATTTAAACATCTTAACTTTTTAGAGATTTTTTGGCTCCAATTCTGTTTGATTGTTTTACTTTTGTCAATGTCAATGTTTTTTTGGCTTCAAATTTTTTCCTTGCAGTATATTTGCTTATTAAACAACTTTTTGCATGTAATTATTTGTCTCCTAATGGGTTGGGAGAGGTGGGTGAGGTTCAGGTGGGTGAAGTTTGAAGTGTGTGAATATTTTTTCCCTTTTTTGTGGTTAAATGTTGACCGATATCAATGTATAATTTCCTCTTTTCTTTCTCTTTATCTTGGATGGGGAGGGAGACATTGTGGTTGTGTACATCAGATTTTTACCTCAGAGGAACTGATGACAGATTCTGTCAGTGTTTTGAAAAGATATGAATTACTAATCAAAGACCTCTTTTTTGGGTTTTTAAGGGAGTTCCATATGTAATTTATTGGAATTCAACATTTTCTTCCTATGCATCTTCCCACTTTCGGCAAGCACTGTTAGCTGTTATTCAAAGGTACTTGCCTGCTTGCCTTATTGCAGTTCAATGAAATCTACAAAATCTAATGTTTGGTTTTCTGTCAAAGCAGTTCTTTGAGCCACATATGGGATGCATTCCAACTAGCATTTGCATCTTTCCGCCTATATTGTATTAAGAATAGTTACGTTCTCCCTGTTAACTACCAAACTGCTGGGGACAACATTTGGCCTCTTTTGCTTGGAGATGAACCAAAGATAAACATCACTCCTGAGGAACCTAAGGGTGAAGAAGGAACGGACCCATGTGATATTGTTCCTCGTATAAAAATACATCATAAGGATGTGGACATGAGGCTTCTTATTTGTGGCTTGCCTTGCTCTCTGGTGTGTTGGAGCTGTGAATACTGATCTATCTTTTTATTTCTTCTTTGCTTTTGCTACTTTTCCTTAAACCCTTTGGGTACAGTTGGTACCATGAAATGTTTCAAAGTTATGCCATGTAGTTTAATCATATTTATTTATTTACAGGATCCATGTTTGCTGGGTTCATTGGAGGATGGGCTAAGCGCGCTCTTGAACATTGAAGTAAGTTGAATAGTAAACTGTTGGGTTCTGTGTGTACCCTTCAAATTTTGGTAGTCCACAAATTACCCCTCAAATCTTGCTATTTCCAGTTAAACCCATTAGAAAGAAAAAAAAGTGAGGGCAAATTCTTATTATACCTTCCTTCTTTTTTTCGTCTCTCCTTCAACCAAAAACTATGGGGGAAAAACACCCTAACATCTCTTGTTTCTCCTTCAGTTAAATCCATTAGAGAAAAAAAATCTTCCTCTTTCATATCCTTCAACTAAAATCAATGAAAAAGATGTTATGTCTACTTTATTTCCTCTGCAATACAAGTTGGCAACAAGATAAGTAGGATTGAAGTGTTTCTTCTACTTTTTCTCTGCATGACTCGAGGGGAAAAAATAGAATACTTCTGGTGCAGGTATTTAAATCAATAAACCCATTAGCTGAATATGTGGAAAGTGGTGTTAACATCTTGCATCTAGATATTATCAGTAATGCTCACCTTCTAGTTGCATCTTCTCAGAACCGCATTCTGATTTTAGAGAAGTGATGTGACTGAGATACTATTAGCTTAAAATTTTTGACTTTTTATCAATATAGCAAAGAAAACTCTAATCTGCTTTCTAAAAGATCAATCTACTTGCATGTTTTGCTCTCTTTTCCTTTGCAGGAGGTACTTCTAAACACATATAGTTTTGGCATTCTTTTTTAAACACATTGTTTTGACATTCTTTTCCTGCTTCTCCAGATTCGTGGAAGTAATCTTCAAGATACACTCAGGTACCGTGACAATTCTATCGTAAGAAATTTTCTGAAGCAGTTCAAAAACAAATCATATGTCATCCAAATTTATTATTCTCATTGTTATTAACCTGATCTCATTTTAGTTCATTGAATTTCTCAGTGATTAAGTTTTAACGCTTTTCTTCCTCAATCAACTGTTTATTATATTGATTAATTATTTACTATATTGCCCTCTTGTTGCTTACAGTTCTAATGACAAGTAATAATTAGTTTGTGGATGGTCTGAAAATGTCTAACAGCGAAGCTGAGACTGATTCGAATGGTACAATGATGGTCAAATATTATTTCACCACCTGTAGTCATGCTTATTTTTCAGTTCTCGTGTCTGGCACTGCAGCTACATGTTCTGATAATCAAGTAAAAAAATATCTTCTATTTTCGTTTTAACTTGAGAATTTGAATTACTTATTCTAATTTTCTTTTAACTTGGGAATTTGAATTCCTCAAACGCTAAATCAGTATCTGACTTGATGCAGCTTCTTGAATCCCTTATCAAGAAAGAACTGGTTGAGAATTGTCATAGATTCATCAAGGCCTTACCAAATAGTAAAGAGAAATCCCGTGAACATTGGAATACTCTTTCTATAGCAGCAGGGGCACCTGTCTTTGAAATCTTTGTGAAAGTCCCTGCTTGGGCTTCTGAGGTTACTATCTATATATTTTTTATGATTAATTATGTCAGGTATTCATTGAAACACTTATCTCAAAATTTGTTCTCAAAATTTGTTTTCCCCTTTCCCCCTCCTTCCCTCGAATTTTCAGATTTTGAAATATTTGGCAAGGGAACTTTGTTATCGGAGTCTCGTGGCCTTAGGAGTCGGAGCCATTGCTGGTGTCCCTGTTACATCATTTGATAAAGAAGATGCTGATCGCCTTCTTTTCTTTTGTAAAAGAGGAAAGAAAGTCCGGGATATCCAAGATTCGATAGTTTTTAGACCACCTAAATGGCATGCTCCACTTGTTAGTATGAGGAAAGCCAAACCAGTGAATAGCGCATTATTGAGGCCAGTTCCTCATATTAGGCCGTTACCAAAGAACCCTTTCTTAGATGATGGAGTTAAGCATGTTGCAGACTTTATACCTTCAGTATCTGCATTGGGAAATACGGAACTGGCCCCTGCTCCTTCTAGACGAAGTGAATTTACATCGAGATTCCTCAAAGCGCTGCAGTTTTCTATGAGCCCCTTGCCCCTACAAAAACATGGGTGCAAGAGAAGCCACATTGGGCTATGTTCTGAAGTAAGTACTACTGGTACTACTGCCTCAATTTTGTCACTAATATGATAATTGAAACATCGAAACATATTATTAAGCTCTATTTCTCATTATTTAGGGGGAATTTCTTCAAGATCTTAAACAGTATATAATTCATCGGGGCCAGAGCTGGCTCGTTCCTAAGGGAGGAATTTCAGAATTCCCTGATGCTGTACTTAACGGTTCACAACTGGACTTATTCAATCTCTATAAAGAGGTATCTGTTCTACAAATTCATATATAAACTAAAGATTTTGTGAAGTCAAAATGGTTTTGAGTGCCATAAATGTTAGCCCAATAAGCTACATAGCTTGAAGAGTAATCATTTGTCTGTTAGTTTGGATGCTTCCAGAACATAAATCTTGGGTAGTATTGATCTTGCTGTTATGATATTTATCTCATATGCCCTATATTTGTGGGCTATGGACTTCCGTTGGCATTTAACTTTTTAAGATATGTTTTTCATGTAGATTCTTTAGATCAATATTTATATTTTAGTTTAGGTGTCACTTTCTAAAATTTTAGATTTGGATTCAAATGCCACCAAAAATACCAAATTATATGAAACATAACTTTATATGCGTTTCTCTTGCTCTAGGTTGTTTCCAGAGGAGGCTTCTCTCAAGCCAAAGGAATCAATTGGAGAGGCCAGATTTTCATTAATATGCGCAATTATACAGGGACCCATAGACTGACTGTAAGTTGATACTGTTTTTTCTAGATTTGAAATTATTGAATATACAGTAATACCATGGGCTGGTTCTGATTTGAAACAGATCCGTGTAAGATCTGGACCCAATATGAATCTGAATCCGAAAGGAGTCAGTATATTCAAATTTGAAATCAGCTCGTCCAAAAACTCAGACTTGGGTTCAAATTCTTGTTCAGACTATTTTTCATACAAGTTAATTTTATTAAAATGAGTGTTAATAAAGAAAAACAAAAGATTTTCAACATACAAGTACATTTGAAAACTTCATAATTCCCAAAAGAGAAGAGTTGTACTTACACCCAGACAAATCAAATACATAGATGACATCAATCAAGTTTGGGATGTTTGGATTTGGGTCCAACAATATCTTAAATGTCACGAATTGCATTCTGATCCGGTATTGTAGATCTAAGCAGACTGGAACTTGATTCTACTCAAGAAATTCAGACCCCAATCCAATTTTATACCTAAAATCTAGTTGGGTCGTCCTTGATTTCATGTTATCATTTTGATGTTTTTGTTCAAGCATTGAATCTGCACATTTCATTTTAAAAACTGTTTCTTGTCCTGCGAACTAATAATTTCAGAGCGTTGGAACTATATTAAAAGACCATTACATGACGTACCTGTTGGAGTATGAGTTAGCTCATGATGATGTTGAAGCAGAGTGCTGCATCTTGTGTGAAAGGTAATAGCTACTAATTTTCTCTTTATTTTCTTTTATTTTTTGCTTTTTTTCCTTCTCTATTTTGTTCACTTCCAGAAATTAATACGTTTATTGGGGGGTGTTTGAATTCTTTCGCAGTGGTGATCCAGGGAATTGGGTAAATTGTAGTGTATGTAGTGAGTGGGCCCATTATGACTGCGATCAGCGGCCAAATATTGCTTCTTTCAAGGTTTGCAAGCTCAATATGACATATTTACTCCCCTTCCAAATTATAATTTTCTGATATAACATAAATTATTTCTCTTATTTATCATCATGCATTTACTTTCACTCCAATTTGTAGGCTGCAAGTTTAACCAAAATGAGGGAATATTTATTTTCTGTATAACAGAAAGTTTTCCATAAAATTGCTTTCTTATTTTCCTTTCCTGAAAAGCGTAGCCAGTCAGTTGTCATATTCTCGTGTGTGCGTGTTTGTGCCTACCTCGTTCGTTAATTTGCTTCCTAAGCCAAATTGATATCCGACTTCCTTAAAACTCTGTCTAATTTTGAACTTTAAATGCAAAGAGTTCTCTGCCGCATTTATTTACTTTTTTTATTTTCGTTTTCGCCCAAAAGGACCTGGGGTTCAGTTATCATGTGTGGATGGATTCACATGGTTGTTCAGTGTAATACTTGGTTCTTACCTTATTTACTGAAGCATGATGTTTGTAACAGGTTACCAGATATTATATTTACTTGCAATTAATTTCTTGACTGATGATATACCTAATGCTCGTCCAACCAACCGCTGTCATTACAAGTTATAATAGCCATGAAAACTGCATGCATGTTGTAGCGTATGCATCTGTTTAGGAGATTGTAAACAACTGTTTTGTATCTGGAACGTCACGGTTTATCTCTGTAACTCTGTTAAATGTAATTGAAGAATGATGACCCTACTGGTATCTCGTTTGTCATGTCATGTAACACAGGATTATGCGAAGACTGGCGGGTTGGAATACATATGCCCAAATTGTACGTAAAGTCGAAAAAGAAACTCACCTGGAGCGATGAAGGATTTTTCCTGAAGAATATCTACTGTTGAATGAAATAATGTATTTTTATTTTATTTTATTGAAACATAATGTAAGCCAGAATGCTATCTCATCTATATAATCTTCTTTGTGTATATTCTTTGTTTTTGCTCGCTGCCTGTGAGCAGCCCTCTTGTTTTTTTTTCTTGTTTTTTTTGGGAAAAATGCTTCCAGCCTTTAAAACCCAAGAAAACGTGTTCCCCCTTAGACTTTGTTAACGGGTGTTTTGCCCAAAAAAATAAAGATTTTGTTCTCTGAACCCCCAAAACACAAAACCCAAGAGATTAAAATATGTGAAAGTCATAATACCATTCTCTTTTTTTATCATGATGTTATTGAGATGATAGTTAAAATGATTGATGAGAATTGTTATTTTATTATTTTTGTTTTTTATTATTTTTGTTGTTGATGAGGGGACTTAACTGTTTTTGTTTGTATTGGGAGATTGTTAAAGTTACAGGTTAATTGTTAAGATTATAAATTGTTAAGGTTGTGAAGACCATAATACCCCTCTCTCTCTCTCTCTATCATGTTGTTACTGAGATGATAGTTGAAATGATTGATCGGGATTGTTATTTTATTATTTTTGTTTTTTATTATTTTCGTTGTTGATGAGGGGACTTAACTGTTTTTGTTTGTATTGGGAGATTGTTAAAGTTACAGGTTAATTGTTAAGATTACAAGTTAATTGTTAATGTTGTGGATCAGTTGTTAAAGTTACGGATCAGTTGTTAAAGTTATGAGTCAGTTGTTAATGTTACGGGTTGGTTGTGAATGTTACACGTAATGATATATATGTATATATATTTTGAGTGGCATGAACACTTTGGGTCACTTGGCTTAGTGGTAAAGTTTGGGAGGTTGGACAAGAGGTTAGGGATTCAAACCCCTACAACGATAATATTTTTAGAATATTCATTGTTAAGGATAATGGTTGGTTGTGAATGTTACGAGTTGGTTGTGTAGGTTACGGGTCAGTTGTTAAAATTATGGGTCAGTTGTCGCTGTAGGGGTTTGAACCCTTAACCTCTTGTCTAACCTCCCAAACTTTACCACTAGGCCAAGTCACTCAAAATATATATACATATATATCCCAACGTGTAACATTCACAACCAACCCGTAACCTTAACAACCGACCCATAACCTTAACAACTGACCCATAACCTTAACAATCGATTCACAACATTAACAATTAACCCGTAATCTTAACAATTAACCCGTAACTTTAACAATCTCCCAATACAAACAAAAACAGTTGAGTCCCCTCATCAACAATAAAAATAATAAGAAACGAAAATAATAAAATAATCCTCATCAATTATTTCAACTATCATCTCAGTAACATCATGATAAAGAGAGAGAGGTATTATGGTCTTCACAACATTAATAATTAACCCGTAACCTTAACAATAAACCCCTAACCTTAACAATTAACCCGTAAATTTAACAATCTTCCAATACAAACAAAAACAGTTAGGTCCCCTCATCAACAACGAAAATAATAAGAAAACAAAAATAATAAAATAATCCCCATTAATTATTTAAACTATCATCTCAGTAACATCATGATAAAGAGAGAGAGAGGGGGGAGGGGGGGGGGGGTTAATAATTAACCCGTAACCTTAACAATAAACCCCTAACCTTAACAATTAACCCGTAAATTTAACAATCTTCCAATACTTTGGGGTTTTGGGGGTTGGAAGCATTTTTCCTTTTTTTTATCTTCATAAAATTTTAACTTACCAAAATATAAAATAAACTGAAATAGAAAAGAAAAGAAAGAAAGAAAGAAAATAAACATAAGGGCATCCTAATTAAATGTTTTTATGCAGGAAATAAGATCAGATCCTCTCTGTTCATCAACAAGTCACTCGTGAGCTTACCAAAAATCAATATTAAGTTGATATTTAAATCCTAATTAAAGTTTGTGATGAGTTATAATATTGGGCATGGAAAGCCGACAGATCTCAGCAGCTAAATTCTGAAGGCCGTTCTCTATATTCTCTGCCAGAAAATTTGATGTAAAATATTGCAACAAGGCCAATAATCAAAATAGCGGAGGCAGCATAAATCTTAAAATATTAATATAAGATATGAATACGATGGTCCTGAGCTCGTTCAATGAATTTGAGCATGATTAACTGGCAACGCTCAAGATCCCACGCCGTGAGGGGCTGTTTGGTTCCTTTTTTTTTGTGGTAAAGACTAAAGTGGGGAAAGCTGTCAAAAATATCAGCTTTTTGGCAGTTTTTCCCCAAAATCACCCTTAAAAATGTGATTTTAGGGGAAAACTGTCAAAAAGCTGACATTTTTGACAGCTTTTTCCTCTTTTACCATCAAAAAAACCTATCCAAACAGCTCCTGACTTTTCATATTTTTTTAAGGTCTTCAGATGGTCCTTTGCCTAAAATAATATTGAAAGTATAGGAAGAAGAATAGCACGCACGTGTTCATTATTAATTTTAAAATAATTCAGCCACTACGCACTCTAAAAACCGTCGAGAAAATCACGGAGAATATATTTATGAAGGAACATAAACCTGTCTTCATTACTAATTTTACTAATTTTAAATCAATTCGTTCAGTATACAAATTAGTATGATCAATAGGATAAGTATAAATTAGCTACTAAATCAGCGCAACCATCTTCGAAATTGATAATGAAACACGTATTGCATTCTGCTGATTCTTTCTATGATATTGTCTATAGAGGGCGTCTTATATGAGTTTTCCTCATTATTGTATATGTTTATAATGAAACACGTATTGCTCCCTCTATGTTATTTTCATTTTTGTGTATGTTTATAATGTTTTTGGACATTTATGGTGATATATACATGGCCAATGGCACAATGATAACTTGTTAAATGTTTTGCGTGTCAATACCTGAGGAAGAGGCGTAGGCCACGTATTAGGCGGAGCCCACTGAGATCAACTTGGAATTAACGTCGACTTTGTAGTTGACCTACAGCAGAAAGGACTTAATAAATATTTGAGCCTCATCTATGTGATTTTCTCTCTTCATTAAATATAATCAGACTATAAAAACCGGATTAAGAATTTAGCTAACTGTTATACTCTGTGTAGAAAAATAAGTCGTGTTGCGTTTTTGTTTGTTTTATTTTTTATAGAGCAGTTTGTGGTCTAGCTAAAAGTCATGAATATTAAACTATGAGATAAGAGAACGCGTGCCCATCATTCTTCTTCATAGGATTGAAAATAAAGTGATTCATCTATTATATAATAGGCTAGTTCTGCATCCATCTCCAACGCAGCGGTAAAATGCAGCAAAAAAATGCATTTGCCGTTGCGTTTTCGCTATAACCCAGCGGTAAATTTTACCTCATTTTAGCGGGGATGAACAACGCGATGCTATATTTGGCGTCGTACTATTCATCAACCGCATTACTTTTTTTTTACTTTTTTTTTACTTTTTACCTCTTAATTTGATGTATTTACAATTTGATCCCATTTGTTTCATTAAATTTATAAAACAACCCTAATGATATTTAAATTTTATAATTTTACCCCAATTATATAATTTGGACAAAATAAATTATTTTTTAAAAATAAACATAATTCTAAAATTTAAAAGACATTATTATTAATTATAATATTAAAATCTAGACATTATAAGTAAAGTCCCATGAAATATAAAGAGCAATCCCAATACATAATTCAAATATAAATTACATATCTGAAATACATAACATATAAAAACTAACACACATAATATAAAACTTCATTATATATTGGTAAAAAACGTGGTTTTCCAGGAATGTTAGGAAGTCTTGATTGTATGCATTGGAAATGAAAAAAATTATCCAACGGCATGGTCTGGGCAATACGCAAGACGTGGTGAGTCACCAACTATTATCCTTGAAGCTGTGGCAGATTATGATCTTTGGATATGGCACACATATTTTGGTATGCCAGACACCAATAATGATATCAATGTGCTGGAGTCATCTAATATTTTCTCTAATCTAGCTCAAGGTATTACTCCTCCCGCTCACTATGTTATTCAAGGAAAAGAGTATAATATAGGTTATTAGCTGATGGTATATATCCAAAATGGGCTACTATTGTACAAATAATCCAACAACCACAAGGTAGGAAGAAAAAATATTTTGCCATGAAACAGGAAGCATGTAGAAAAGATGTAGAACATGCGTTCGGAGTTCTCCAATCACGATTTGTAATTGTGGCAGGATCAACACGTTTTTGGAAAAAACATGTATTACATGACATAATGACTGCATGCATTATTATGCACAATATGATAATCGAGGATGAACGTGACCTTTATGCACCAATTCAAGAAGTGAGGGAAGTACCAACACCAGAAGTTGATATTGTAGCAGATGAAACTACAAGATTTACTTAATTTATTGCACGTTACAGACAAATCAAGGATAAAGATGCTCATATTGCGCTTCGTAATGCATTGATAGATCATTTATGGGAGGAACACACTATTTCAGATAGTTAAGTGCATATTAAAATTGTAATTTTTACATTGTTGTTAATGTTTAATTATTTTCTTGTATTTTATTTTCTATTGTGTTCTTAAATGTAATATTTTAGCAATATCAATAATAAAAATATAATATTTTAGCAATCAAGTTATTTTAATTAGTAAAATAATATTTTATTATTTTATTAGTTTAATTTTTTAAATAATAAATCATTTTGTTTGAAAAATACGTGAAAAAAATAAAATTTGATATGTGGGGTTAATTGTTGAAATAGTTAAAAATATAGGGAATAAAAAATAATAATATAAAAGTAGATAAAAAAGAATATACTGAGAATATTCTTTTTTGGTGCAAAAAATGGTGTAATGGGTTGGAGATGAATTACTGTTAGATGTGATTTTTGCACCATTTTGATGCAAAATTTGCACCATTTTGAGGCAAAGGGTTGGAGATGCCCTAA